TAATATAATATAATATAATATAATATAATATAATATAGTACAATATAATTTAATATGACATAGTATAATATAGTATAAAGTAGTATAGCGTAATATTATATAATGTGATATGATATAATATAATATAATATGATATAATATAATATGATATGATGTAATATAATATAATATAGTATAATATAATACAATATAGTATAGTGTAATACAATATAATATAATATAATATCATATAATATAATATAGTATAATATAGTATTATATAGTATAATACAGTGTAATATAATATAGTTTAATATTGTATAATATAATATAATATAATGTAATATTATATAATATATTGTAAAGTAGACATTAACTTATTGACAATTTATCTCCCTCTCTCAGTGAAAAGTTAGATGGTTTAAGAAATTAATTTCGTGAAGTTATTTTTTTACACCGTTTAGAGTACAGGCTTGATTTGTGGGTGGGTCTCGGAACAAAATTTTTATTCACGAAAGTTGCCTCCTAACTGACTGCGTCTCGGCAACAACAGCTGCTTTGCGTGATGCAAAACTAACATCATGTCTTTCTAAGATTACGTCGTTTTGCAGTTTCAGAAGGTCTATACATCAGGATCGCTGAGAGCATAGGTTCTACATCAAGGGAATAGGAGCAAGTCATCAAATGTCATATACTGTTCCAAAGATAGACCAGAAATTAAAGTTCGTTGATAATAAATCAATGGAAACCCCTTCCTCGCCAAGGAAGTTTACAAATTTATTTCAGTTTGCAAATTCAAAATTCCCTGTTCACTTCCTTAAAGTATCTAGAATTTTCCAGAGAAAATTGAAAGAAAAAAACAAATATATTGACAGTTAAATATACCTTTATTAATTTGTGAGGTCTCATGCATTAATATAGTAAAGTAATTTGCGTATTTTTGTCATGTGATATTTTTACTAGACACTTGCTTGCTGTAAAATTTTATGTTTGAATTATCATGTTCTTTAAAATTCAAATGGCAGTATTCGTAGTAACAGTAGCGAGTAAAATTTTATATTAAAATTAATGATTTAATACATCTTTGAAAGAAAATTACTTCCTGAACTCCTAAAGTTTTCAGTTTTTCAATTAGTAAAGCGAAACTTATGAATGAAATTGCCAAGTTTACCTGTTGCTCATGAAGATTTTTATAGTAACGAGTGATCAACATTTCAGTGGGAGTCCGATGAAGTTCTAATTTCCTCAAGAGTTCCTGTAAAAATTTATCAAACGTAAGCAAAAACCTATTTGAAAGTTGCGGAATTTTTTAGCTTTGTTTGTCAAAGTTTATAGAAAAGCTAAGACGGAGACTTCAAATTGTTATAAATGCTGGGAAAAAACAACACCAATAACGATTCCAATATTGTTTAAAAATCTGTTTTCATTCGTGAAGAAAAAGTTGTTTAAGTTTAAAAACCTGGTACAGAGGAAGATTTCGAAGAGTCTCTCCTGAAATTCCTTTGCCATAAGCATGGTAGAATTCGGTTAAAATTCCTGTCCCTTCGGCTATACGATCACAAAACTTGGGATCACACTAGATACTGTCACTTTAAAACTTTTTTTACAAGTCATTTACAGTTATTGAAAAAAAGCCTCGATATTTGTCAAAAGGTTGATAAGTATATTAACCCCTTGGTCTTCATCCAGGCACTTTAGCAGTAGCGGCAACATAACGTTGAACTGGCTGATAAGAACCCGGACAAAATTTTTGTGTAAGAGCATCCGATGTAACTTTAGCAGCTCACTATCCACCTAAAATCACGCTGGTTTCAAAGTTTCTCTCAAAATAAATAGGTTAGAAAGTTAAAACGAACTCTCTTTTGTAAAATGATCTTCGTTTGTTGTAAAATGATGCATCTCTGTTTCATTTGCTAGGAAAATTAAATTTTTATACAGTATTCCTTTTTTAATTTTTCTTATTTTAAGGAAAACCAGAGGCTAAAAATGAGTGCACATACCACTTCTGTCATCGGTTTCAGCGCTACTTCTGCTGGAGTAGTTTCTGGACTCCAAGCAAAGTGAACTAGGTGCTTCTCCAAAAGCGGAGCAAAACGTTTTGATAACTGATCAATGGCTGTCTCGATTTGCTTGCTAATGTACGCAGTGCATGAATCTATTTCTTTTTCTACTCGAGTTTTTCGTTCATGCTTATCCTAAGGAACTGTGTGCTTTGGTGAAGAAAAATACAAAAAGTTTAGCTTTTGTGACTTTGGCACTGGAAAAAAGGTTAAGAATTATAGCGCACTAAAGAGCAAAAGTACAACAGTGATTAGCTGACGCAGTAATTAATTAACAGTTTACTGCGGGCAAAAATACACTGTAATAAAAACAGAAGATTTGAAGGTTTTGTGAATTCAAAAGCCTCAAAAAACTCTTTAAAATTATTTGTATCTAGTAAGAGCTAAGTGCAATTAAATTTTTTGCATCACTAAACTATTGATTAGTGTATTACTCGAATTGTTAGACAGAGTAATGCGTACTGTTTAGAAAGCATAACAGTTATAAACTAAAAATTTTACTTGGCCAATTTCTTGGTTGAGTATTTCATCCAGATGTAGATGGTCATAAAACAGTAGGCTTCTTCTTACCTTTTCTGCATTGTTCATCACGGTGCAAAACTGAAATAACAGAAAAAGTGTATCAAAAACGTGCCTATTTTTGCTAATCACGAAATCGTCTAATCTTTTTTTCAAAATTTATTTGAAAAAAACTTTGTAGCAAATAAAGGCACATCGAAGAAGGGTTTTTCTTGTTTGTTTCATTGTTTCCATTTCACTCGTTTTCTCATTTTGCTTCCCTGTACTTTCTGCATTCTTCGTTATCCAAGATTTTACTTGTAAATCCAAATTTTTTTACAAAATTAAAGAAGACGTTTTGTTTATGCTGGAACATTTCAACAATTTGCGAATTAGACTTTTTTTAATGGGCCTGGGAAAAAACATGGTTATTTTGCATAAATGGTGTATGCGTGAAAGAATCGCCTTTCCCAAGATGAACTGCTTTTGTGCAAAATCTGTTTTTTATACGATGAGTCACTAGCTTTGACTGACTTTGTAAACTTGCTAGAAATTTACCCTTGCCAATGTCCCTTTCGGAACAAATAGTTGCAATTCACCCTGGAATCCTTCAGATGCTAAGACAGCGAAAATTTTGTCTACATAGAACTCAGCTAGCTTGCATATGTTTTGGATCAGTTTCTCGGTCAACGATATCCTTAATTTGGGATCAGAAACCTTCATTCTTTCCCAGGTAGTAATTATCTGAAATTGGTATATTTGTTGCTGAGAAAGATTATAGTTCTCTTGTCTGTCATTTGCCCATCTTTGCTTATGTAAAAACTTGAAGGTGAAATAAGTAAAACTATCAACGGCAACTAACTGGTCACCTGTTCAATTATGTGGCATATATCAACGTGCGAGCTTGAGAATTTTATTTTATCGTTTCTTTCAATCTGAAAAAGAAAAAAAAACTATAGCCTTTCTTAAATTAGTACATTATAAATGGACGATAGGTAAAGTTAACTTATTCATCACTTACATCAGTATCTAAGCGGCAAGAGAAATCGGCTCTAGCAAAAGCTCGCACACGAACTTGGTTAACCCATTTGGTTATTGCTCTGTCGAACAGACCACCCCAGTTGTCAAACATAAAAGTCATTCTAATAAAATTTAAATATTTTTTAAACAGTCTCAAAATATTACGAAACAGTTAGTCACTGCAGGATTTACCTCAACTTTGGATTTTGGTACTGTCTAAATTCGTTCAGTGCAAGATGAATTTTTAGAACGTTCAGAAAAGGAACAATTTCTCCATCTTCTTTTGCTGAGGCTCTATTCATCTGGAAATGATTTTGTTTATAATCTTTCCGTCGATTTATAATAACCAGTAAACTGTATTTTAAGCCTGTGTAAGTGTTTTACTAATTACACGGAAAAGATTAAGAAATAATATAACTGCCAGAACTACCGTAGCTTTCAGTCCACTTGGGCCGTCATCCATAAGCTTTACGCATAAGTACTCTTCCAGCTAAAAGTCTTTATATTTATAATTAATTGTTGAGGAATTCCATTTTTATTTTCTAAAGCAGTTCCGTTTTGTAAAAATTTTATTATAGGCAGGTAAAGGTCAGCTTTTTAATTTTTTAATTTTTGGCAACTAAATTCGTCTTGTTTACCCCATCACTTTGAAACCACTGACCGATTTGTTAAATACCGTATAAGTTATTTTGGAATAATCAATATTAGCAACGGATGCAAAAATTTGATCGTACGCAGAAGATTTAGAACATGCAACCACAATATGCTGAAGAATTTGAGCGAGCTCTGCGCATGGATCCTGAAATAATAACAACTCCTGCAAAACTCTGTTAATGTCACTTTTGCAGTTCTAAAAGCATTCTTGCTTAAGCTTACTCAAAAACCCTGCTAAAGAGCTATAACGAAAAAAAAGTTTTAGCCTAAAAACCGCATAAACCAAGTTTTTCTCATAGCTTTTTTTGAAACCGACTCTTACTTCGTTCTTCGACTCTTTGATACTGTCACTGCAGAATCCTTCTGCAGAAGTCTGAAAAAAAGTAAATGTTGGTTATGACCAAAAATTTCTAGAAGAGCTCCGGTTATGATAGATTTTCAAAGATTTTCAAAGATCAATTACTAAAAAGTAACGACGAAAAAACCTCTAAAGCAGTTTTTGCTAAATTGCTGAAAGATCGGTTGAGCGATACGCAAGCCTTAAAGGCACTGCATTCAATCATCAGTTTACAACATCTGTAATTGAAGAGTTAAGCAGCGGTGTATCTGTTATTTAGTCGAATTATTTTTCAAATTCTAGAATGAAATGTTGTGTGCAAATATAAATGTATAATTTTACTCTAATAGAAGGAATTATACTAAAGTGTTTTAGCTCGTAAAATAGGTTGCAGTTAGAAAATAACTACCTAAGTAGGTCAGAAAATGAATCGAGAGCTTTATTATTTTGGGGAGGAAATCTGTCACGATGTTCGGTAATAGCATTACAGCATTTCTGCTCGAAAAGCACAAAAGAGTCTGCCATCATATTCTCTTCGGCCTTAAAAAAAAGATTTTCTTTTCAACTTTTGTAAGCAAATGAAGTAACTTATTTTACAAATGCACTCCTTCACAAATGCTAAAAAAATAATCGTAATGGGTTTTGTTGAACTTTCTGCATTAAAGTATTAGTTTTTATAAAGGCTCTTAATACGATTAATACTTCAAACAGACTTTATCCAAAATCAGTGGTTCCCAGCGTGAGACTAAAGTGGTTAAAATATCGAAGAGGTATGAGTAAGATATTCCAATGTTGGTCATAGCGCTGTATGCTGACCACGCACTGAAATACTCAAAGTTTAATTTATAGTT